CTCAGCATACCAGTATGCCCGTGTGTAGCTACGTTGGAGTTCGCCTGGCATACGCTACTTGTTGCCAGTCAGGCAGCCGGTGATCCGTGTGCGAGTCTAGGACAGACGGCACTAGCAGGCTGAATTGGCCGAGCAGCGAGAGGCCTTGGCATCGCGGACGCCTGCGCCACGGCTGCAAAGTTTCCAAGCCGTGAAACTCGAAAACCGTTGAATCCAGCCCTGATGCTTTCAACGACACCCCGAAAGCTCCGAAGCCCAAAGAAAGCAAGAGCTTCCCAAGCCCAAAGGTGCGCTCTTCTCTGGCATCACTGCTGGGCGCCTCGCGAAGGCGTCTCTTTGCAGAGGCGCGAAGGGTGCTGCTCCTCGGAGGAATGAGGGTTCTGTGGCTCAAGACTCAGAGCTCGGAACCATGTGTGGTGTAACCGTTTCGAAGGCCTGTCCGCTACTGGGAGAGGTTAGTGGAGGACATGTTTGTGCGGCTGTTGAATTGTCTCGATGCAGGAGAGCGTTAAGAAGGTTGTTGCATGTTTTTTAGTATGAGAGATTCTACAGACATCACATTACTTCCTGTCATTCTATCAAGTATTCCCAGGCTGTCTGCCGACCTCAGCGACGACCTCTCAGCTGCTTGGTCTTCAAAACGGCCTCGAAGGTAGCCAGGGACAGCCTTGTGCCAGCTTTGCGGCTCAATCGTAAATGCATGCAAAAGAAAGCCCTTGGCCCGAAACCGCACCACTTAGAGCTTCGGACTGTGCAGTGATGCTTGTGTCAACCTCACCGATCGTCCGCGCGGCTTGCATGTTTCAGTTTCAGCCAAGGAGTTCCAGTACCCTGAGGCAGTGTTCCAGGCATTGTGCTGCACAAGTTTGACAGCGTGCAGATGCATGTATGCTTTTGAGGAGTATATGTGTGTGCGTCTTCCGGTGCATTCCCAGCTACAGTTTCGTCTTGGGTCGTAGAACATCTTGTCAGTGCAGACTAGCCTGAACCCCAGAACCCCTGCACTGAGAGCCCCAAAGTCCAACCCACCCCAAGAAGGCCGCAGCGCGACCGAAGTCTCTGTCGCGGCCGCTTGCGCTGCTTGCGGCCTCGTATCAGGTGCTCGAGGCCGGGGTGTTTGGGGAACCTACCAGTGTGTCCCAGTCGTCAGCACAGGCAATCGTCCTTCCGTGGTGTTTGCCTGTGTTTGACGAAGGGCGTGTCAGAGTTGGTCTGTGAGCGTGAGGCTTTAGCCTGATGTGCATGTTTCTGTCTTGTCCGTGTTTCTTGGCTGGTTTATGTCTATAGCAGCCCGAGATGGTTGTAGATTCAGTTGCACTCTTCTTCCATAGGACTTTCAGGGGCCATCTGGCAGCAGATGGGCTCATGGCACTGCAATATCCGCAGCTGCAGCCTGAACAAAGCAGGGTCTAAAGTCGGGTCCCTCATTGACTCGGTGTGTGAGGACATGGCTCATGACTCGGTCTGCACTTGGCAGGTCTCGGACTTCGAAGCTCTGCTGGACATCGTCGCATCCAGCAGTCCCACGGCTGCAAACTTGGGGCCCGTTTCTCGGTGTCCGGCGTGTGTTGTGGGGTGCGTGCTAAAGCTGCTAGCGTAGGAGGGGGCTCCACTTTGTCGTGAATCTCGACACGAGACCCACCGAGGCCCCATCTGGCTCCGTGGCACCGCAGAGAAAATCGATGGCCAGCCCGGCGCAGTGTCTCGTGGCGGCAACCTGAGGTCGCCTGGGTCTTGGAGTTTTGGTCCCGACGTCTTCCGCACTGGCGCGTATACGCAACCCAAAACGCCCTGGATATCCCTGAGCCATCCTGAGTCACCTTGACCAAGCGGCCTAGCTTCGACTCAGGAGCGCCTTCCATGGCCGTTTCTTCCTCCTCCGGAACCTCCTGGCGCTCCAGGCAGAAAGGGATAATAAACAAGGGACGGAGGCTTCACAAGTGACTCCTATCGGAGTGTTTTGCAGACCCGGCAGCCCTTTTACGTTCAACGGAAATCCAACCCACCTGTGCAAACAGGAGCAGCTCGCGGCTTTTGAAGACGATTCGCGAGCTGCTCTGGGTGTTGGAGAGGCCGGGCCGCCTCCCCGCAATACGCCACAGACGCCACGACGGAAGGTTTAGGAGATCCCCCCATCACCCAACATTCAGCAGAGGCAGCACTGCGTCAGAGGGAGGACGAGTTCACCTTGGCGCTGGAGAGGCCCGACCCGTCGCCAGGACCTGCAGAAAGCGGAAGCCGCGTCGTCGCGGTTGCGGTAGCCGCGTTGCCGTATCTCAGAGGCAGAGCGCCTCACAGCTCCGTCGTGGCCGCGGCCGCCGCGGCGCAGCGCTGCAACGGCTCCTCGAGGAGGCCTTCTCCCCGTGCAGGCTTTGCAGGCCTTGAAGGCCTAGAGGCCTAGAGACTGCAGGGCTGAGGGTGCAGGGTTTAGGATCTGCGACTGCGAGGCATGTCATGTCGGTTTATCGAACTTAGAGGCTCGCCTGGGCACAATCGCTGAGAATCAGCTCGTTCAATATCATTTGCTCTCGAACCCAGCGCAAACTTCGCATCCAGCAGCATTCCTTGTGATGGTAGTTTGTGCTGCTGGTGCGACACTCGCATCCTACGGTGTTGCGACAAGCTTTGTTTCTTGCGGTTCACTGTAGATGGTGATTCTTCAAAACGTTAAGCCCTCAACCTTGCAATCAGTCTTCGTCCGTTGCATCATACCTGCTCTGCCGGTGAGGTGTCTTCCGAGCTGCTTACGGAGCCGCTGAGATGCAGCAAAGTACAAACAAATGGTTGCAGTTTTGGAACGGATGGTGCTACTTTTGCAAGTAACGCTTTTGTTAAGAACATCCGGGGTTTGGTCAAACCGGGCAGGAATACGTCATGTCATCAGCCGGTCACGAGTCCCGCTACTGCTGCAAGCGGTCGGAGAAGCAGGTAGACTGAACGCTTCTGAACACGGGGTCCCGCGCTGGGACTTGGACTCTTCTTCAGATATGCCGAACTTTGCCAGGCTCACCGGTCTCTGCGTCAGGGCGCCGGAGGTGGGAAGGGCTTGCACCTGTAGCAGCGAGAAATCGTGAAATCAAGAGGGCACTCCATCCCAATCCTTCCGGAACCAGCGCATCATGTCCGTAGTGGCTGGGGTTAAGAAGGCATTGTGACAGACTGCACAGGATGTGCTAAACAGTCCGCGGGGATCTGAGTCTCGTCGCTTGATGTTGCATTGGCACAAGACTCCAAGCGCCCACATCCCTCGCTCCCCTTTGAAATCATGTCGAATCCCATGGGATTTCGACTTCTGGTGACGCTACTGGCAACCGTGACTGGGCTCGAAACATCCCGGACAGAGCGGTGCGCTTACTGCATAGCATAGAGGTTTTGGGTTGGCAGAGCAGGAGAAGCCGTTCTGTTCAGCGGGGGTCAGTCAGGTATGCAAGGTCCTAGGAGGTTCGAGCCTATACGCGGATCCAAGGTAGTCCAGACAGCTTCCAGTGCATCGCTGCTCCAGCCACTCTCCACCTATCGACCGAGCCCGGGCACAAGACTGGTCAATGGTATGGTGGCGAACCACTGCTTTTCATTTGCGCACGGTCCCTCCCTATTACGTGCATCGTTTGGCTTTTGTGGAGGTGGGACGCGAAGGTCCGCTTGGGGTCTGGTGCATGTCTTTCGGTGCAGGTAGTGCCGGTTGAAGAGGGAGCAGGAGTCTGTAGGGAACCTTGAGCGTGTTTGACATGTGCATCCGTTTTGATTGTTTCGACTTGCTGGGGCATGGGGGGCTTTCGGACAGGACGGCAAGCCCAGCGAAGTGCCAGACTAATCGCTCAGTTCATCTCAGCCACAAACCATCATAAACCGGAAGCATCGAGCTCAAGCCTAATGCATTGCGGCCCAAGGAACATCACCACCTTCCCGGCTGCACCAGTCCAGCATCACCTGCCACCGCGCCTCGGCCACGGCGCATACGTCTGCAGTTTTCGGCTCTTCCGTTTCTTTGTTCCTGCGGCGAGAGGTTCGGCACCGACGTCTCTGGCCCGAAAGCCACGAACAAGTTCTGGGCCAATTGGGTGGTGGAGTCTTATCAGCCCTGGTGGCATGAGCAGTAAGTTTCACAGCTCGGTGTTGGTCTGCGTATGTGGCTCCGTCCATTGCCTGGAATAAGGAAGAGGGGCGTGGCCTGGCCATCCATCCAATGCCCTACGTCCTGCAGTTCGAATCGCAGCCGGGAGAGGCTCGCTTCGGAGGATCCGCCGAAGCTCCAGTCTAATGGTGTTTGCTTAACAGACACACTGTACAGTACTCATTCTGTGAAGGCATGAAGAAATTCCACGACGACTTGGGCTAGAGAAATCAAGCTGTTGGGTGTGTCTGTTCGGGGTGGCTGGGGAAAAGGTAAAATCTCACGAAGCTCATCAGTCCACTCTCTCTTGGCTTGTAGACAGCAGCCTTTTCGCACACTGGCCAGGCACCCAACCTCAAAGTCTCCCGCAACCTGGACTATCATCGGGGAATCTCCATATGGGGGCTATTCGAACATGGGTTGAGAGGCATGGCAGTCTCCCAGGGCCTAGCGGCTAGTTCAAACGGTCTGTCTGTCATGTCACCAAGCAGGAGCGGGGCTAGCCTGCTGCTAGGCTCGTTGCGGCGATTCGCAGCATATCCAGGAAGTGCATTGCAGCAAGGTAGCCAGTCTCCGCACATCACCTACGGAGATTCTGATTCTAATGGCCGAGACAAGATCCGCCACTGGGCAAACGGAGCATGGAGTGTTTGCTTCAGACCCCAAAATTCCCTCGTTAGAGCTTCAAGTACGGGAGCTTCTGGAATCTAAAAGCAATCTTTCCTGAACTGCAGAAGCTACCCATTGCTGGTGCACTCGAGACGGGGGCAGCGAAAGAGTCGATCGGGTCAAGGTGCGATTTCAAGCTCCAGCAAGCCGCGCCTAAGAGCACTTAGTCTCAGGCTATTATTTCTCTCCGGTGATCAACGAGTTCGGCCTGGGAGCCATGGAAAACGCCGGCCAGGAGGGCCCGGTCATCGTGAAAGAGGCCGGGGCCCGGGCGTTGTAGCCAAGTCTGAGTGCCCCACGCTGACTTCGGCCAGTGATCCAACAACGTTGTGATGCACTCCAAAGGTCTATCGCACACGAAAGCATATCCTGATTCCTCATGAAACCTGTTGGGTTGGGACTCTATATCAAATCCTGTTTCCTCGTGGGCAAATCCTGCTTCCTCATGCGACCTATTGGGAGATAATAAAGCAAATCACTGGCTCAGACCACGTTTGGTCTAGCCAGAAGTCATAGCTGCTGCGTAACAGACCGTGAGCCATGTCATTGAAGCTGTTGGTTCGACACCCCCGATGAGGCTGATGATGATTTCGATCATGACCGCATGGTGTGTCGAAGTTAGCAGCCGTCAGCGTCCTTTGCGTGCATCCCAACGGCAGGGCCTCTTCGGCATCCACGCGGAGCTTCGAGGCCCATCCGGGACGTCTCGGAAGATGACCTTCCCCATCTACAGTGGCATGGCCTACGTGCCGCTCGGTCTGCATTCGAACCATCCATTCCTTGTCTTTGGTGGCTTTTCTGTGGCTTTCTTGCCGTTCTTGCCGATGGATTCGGGGGTCAGGGTTCAAGGTTCATGGTTCCGTGGTATTGGCATGTGTGCGGCGTCTGCAGCCTATTGCAGCTCGGCCGCGACGCTTTCGTGGATAGTTTGTGGAGTGAAGCGTGCCGCGCGGAAGGTCGGCCTTTTACGAGGGCGGCTTCACGCCGAAGATCACCTCCCAAAGGGCCTTGCTGGGAGTCGATCCGATCCAGGCGTGCACCCGAACGTAGTACAGGGGGGGTGCCGGAACACGACATTGTCGCTCGAGCTCGGTGTGCGAATGGAACCCTGGAAGGCATGCACGACTGTACGACACCTTGTGGTCGCAATCGTCGTCGTCGTAATCGTTGTAACAGTACAGACCGTTCCGCCGGTGATGCACAGACGCACTGTCAAGCCTGAAGCCTTGCCTTGAGAGTCACTCTGTCGAAAGAGAGGATGGTGTCTGGCGCCTGACAAACAACGGTGGCCGTGAGCTTCTAGGCAAATTTGCGGGGCAAGCGTTGAACATGGAAGGTGTGGTGTTACAGGCAAAGCATCTTGAGCTGCAGAAGGGCGTGAGGTATCCTCGTTCGGTCTTAGGCTTATTCAGTCAAAATGGATAGCTACAAAAAGAGGTGATGCAGAGCATCTCTCGGCTCTGAAAAGACTCGCTGCAGACTGTAGGCTCTAGGCTTGGGACAGGGTCCATTTATCCCGAAAAGATGCATGCGGAGCTTTGGTCCCGCAGTCTTTAAACGTCTCAGGTTTCGCCTCTATGCCATCCGGTCATCGGGTGAGTTTGCAGATGGAACCTATCAGTTCAATAGTCGCTCAGAGGCAAATCAGCGCGAATTGTAGCTCGAGGAGTGCCGGAGGGATGGTTTGAAGCTACGAAGCGTGGCATCCCAGGCCCTCAGCCTGAGCATGTATACAAGCGCTGAGGTCAGGGTGAGATGAACAAGCCTTTCGACGGATGGCTGCGCTTGGCAGAGGTCCAGGCAAGGACCCAAGACAAGCACGGGCACTTGTTTTGCTTTCTTGCAGGTTGTTCTAGTTCTGCAATCTAGTTCTGTTATCTACACTGCTCTGAACCAAACTCCGACGCTGACGGACGATGTCGACGGCTGCGACGGCCACGCCAAACCATGCAAAGCACGACAAGGACAGCCAGGTAATGAAGCCAGTGAGCAGCTCATCTTCAAGACAGAGGAACCTTGCATGCCCCCTGTTCTGGCTGTCTGCAGATATCGACCCAGGGACTCGGACTGCCTGCACGAGCATCGGTTCGATACCCAGGAGTTCTCACAAGAAGACAACACACGCCGCCGAAGCGAAGTATCTTTTCCAACATTCCCAATGACATGGGAGTTCGAACATGTCCTCCGTGGAAACATTGTCTCCATCGAAACAAACGGCATCTCTGTTCCATAACTCGTTTCGTCCTTGAGCGAGATCAGGCAGGTTGTAAAGCTTGCATCAGTCGGCAAAGCATGAGACAGGCAAGGGTTACAGGGTCTGCACTGGCATGTTGGACCGGTATCCAAAGCCCGACTGGACCAGTCCTCACCGCTGCTGGGTCCTGGAGCCCTAGAGACCTTAAGCTTCAACTACATGCCATTCGATCTTAAACTTCTTAAAACATGGAGACTGCTCGTGACGAGGCGGCCGGCGACGTTGAAGTGCTTGACCAGCATGCTGGAGCGTGCTTTCAGAACTCGAGTTTCAGTCTCAGAGTCCAGAGTGGATAGACAAAATTTATCTCCGGTTCTTGTCCTGCTTGTAAGTCAAAGTTGCATACGAAAGCACCCAACAACCCTGTGGTTTATCTGGCGAAGGAGCCATCTTGACCGATTGGGACATGGATGTCGAGCTGGGCACTTTGAGGCGCAGTGACGGCGAAATGTCAAGACGATACAAGTTAGCGGATCCCGCATGTGGGCTGAGGGTGAACGAGGTTTGTGGTAGTGCTGGTGATGAAATCTTGTTTGGGTAGGGCGTGGACCATTGAGAAAGGGGTTCAACTTTTTTGCATAGCAGTGCAAGGATTGTACGATGCTCAAAGGTATAATGCTAACAGTGTCCGTCGAACATAGACGATCCATAAGCCGTAAACTACGAGTCGTGCCTGTAAAGGATTTAGGATCTCCAGCTCTGCTCAGGGGTGCCCAAGTTTGAGTGGCAGTGATGCTAGTGCCAGGTATCAATTCTCGAAAAGCGGCTTGCAAAACGTTCCGCTCCTGCACTTCGGTCACCTGGCTGACTATAGGCGCGTGCGGGTTCATGCACTTCAGAAAACTCCGGAAAAGCAGGGATCTGAGCAATCTTAGCTTTTTGCGGCTGATAGGTCGGATCAGATGCCCATGCGGAGGAAAGGCGCCAGCTCCAGGCTAACGCGGGGTCAGCGGTGCCGGTCCGCAGTCAGTCAGCGCGGCGGGGGGGAGGGTGGGGAGGGGGAGGGGAGCGTGCCGGATCAAGGCTGTGGGAGAGGGGCCAAACATGCGCGGATTTGCAATGATCTGCAGTTCAAACAAAGGAGATGTGGGAGACAGATGAAGGAGGATGAAACAGAAAAGCAGGGAAGGGGGCAGAGAGGGAATCTGCTGAAGCCACAGAGCAACATAACTCCCCCAACCTGATGCCGTAGTTGTTTAGTTTATAATTCCGAATTATTGCTTGGCTGTAGCTCTCATGAAGAACTACCACTATTAATCAGTTCTGGGCCTCAGGCTATGCCCACCATGAGAAGATGCTCACCGGTGTCTCACAACAGGCTGCCGAACCAGTCAAGTTCCAGGCTTTCAATATGGATGGTGTGGTTCATCGATGTCTCTTTGGCCTGCCGGCTCCAGGAAGAATTTTTAAGATAGCATCGGCACGGGCTCCGACTTTCCTCAAGGGTTTTCAGTCGCAGAGCCTGGGTCACAAGTCACAGCCTTGAAGGTCTCTACCCTGACGCCCATGCGGCCACCGACCAAAGGCGGGCTCCACGCCGTGCTATTCGATCAGCTGCGGGGGTGCAACTGAATAGTCTTCGAGGGCCACTTGCTTTGTACTCTACTCTACAAGCACACAACTACATGCCACAACTGTTGACTCACAGAGCTCTCCATTCTGTTTGCTTGCAGCTGAGAACGTGTTGCATGTCGGTTCTAGGACCGTGTGAGGGACGCTAGCCGCTCATGGATCCTGCCACCCTAAATCTGTTGAAGGTCAGATGGTGGGTGTTCTGGGTGATTCCTGGGTCTTGGACATCGACACCACCGAGGTGCTTCAGCTGGGGCTCCACGACCAAAATCACAAGCAGGAGCAAGGGACATACCCTCGACGATTGAGTGCAGGCGATGCGAGTATTGGTCTGTTTTGGGATTGGACCAACAGCTCTAGGCGAATTTGGTGGCCGAGGCTCATGAAGGTGGGACTTTACGAACTCGTCGGATTCCAATGTAGCAGAGGATGTTTGTCAGTTGTGTTTTCAAGCATTGGTTTCATCGACCCAGTGCCGGAATCCCGGACGAGTGGGCGATGAGTGTTTGGACGACCGAACAACTCTTTTGGGTAGGAAGCGCCTAGCCGTGTAGCCATGCGCACCAAGCTCTTGCGACCGTTGCGCGTGGATGTCTGAACAGTGCGATTTCCGCGTTAGAATTCCACACGACACCAAGGAATATAGGAATGCTGTCTTGAACGGAAGATCTGGGAACTGTTTGCCTTATGCCTCGGCAAGCAAAGGTTCCTGCCAGCGAACGAACCTGCCACAGAGTACGTGGACTACTTGGCCGAAAAGGCCCTGTTCTGGGGATTGCTGCAGCATTCTGAAGAGGAAGAGTTTGTGAAGGGAAGGGAGAGCGCAAGCAGGTTGCAAGGGAAAGTGAGATGTCCACCACGTTGCAGACCAATCGTGTAAAGCAGCACCAACAAGTTAGAGAACGTGTTCCCTTTTTTGCAAGCTGATCGTTTCATGTGTGGGATCTGAAAGTCGTCTGAGCTTCCTACAGATGTGGGACCAAAGTAGGAGATTGGGAAAGGCTTTGGCTTGGGCTATGCTGTCCAGTCACCCCAAACTACAACTTTCAAATCTCGTGAGCTCCGGAACAAGACTCCTGCGTCGTTCTGCAAACCCCGAAGCCATAAGCATCAGGTGAGGCTCCGAAGGGAAAGCAGCGTTTTTTTGCAGAAAGTCTGAGGCCCTGGGAACTTCCCAGTGGTTCCTGGATTCGGACCACTGGAAACTGGCAATGCTCCTTGCACTATGTTGGTAGAGGCTTGCCCGTAACAACAAACCTTAACCCACAGATCAATGGGATTCCTTTTGCGACGGCCATGGTGTGACTTAGGCCCAGACCGGAACACGAGCTTCGTGAAACTTCAGTTAGGATTGTCATCCCACCGATAGTACATTCGATGAGCACCTTAACAGCTTGCAGGCCGGAGTGCCCCGAAACGCTAGTCCACACTCCGCGTTACTCTGCTGATGCAGGGGCACCTGTGCCGAAACACAGACCGCCAAAACGCCAGCCGCCGTGTAAGCAGCCAAGGTTCCGTGGGAGCTACTATTTCAGCGGGAAGGGCTTCCAGAAGGTCAGCATCGCTCCCCTCCCAGATTCCAATCCCAAGCGATGATTTGCCTCCTTGCCTTCGGCGTGGAAGCTTCAAATCAGGGGTTTCGAGAATATGAGAAAAGTCCCCAGGCTTCCGGCAACTGAAATTGCGAGGCTGCGAGGGCTCAGTTCTTTTGCACTTGCCAAGGAAGACTTCTACTCCCCCAGCTTCGAACATGCTTCTAAGCCTGCTGGAGGTCGCGTACGTTTGCCTCCTTCTGGAGAAGTTCTACGGCACCAGCCATGGCGAGACACAGGCTCTGGACACCAATGCTCGGGATACAGTCGTTGAGAGAACAGCAAGGTTGTCTGCAATCTATTGCTGCCTCGAGCCTTAAGTGCAGGGCTCTCAGTATATCTTACAGAGTCTAGAATCACGTTCTTGTTGGTGTGCTCAAGTCGAATGTAGAACCCTGTAAGAGAGAGAGAGAGAGAGAGAGAGAGAGAGAGAGAGAGAGAGAGAGAACTGCGGGTGTGCGCTGCGCACGAGGGTCAGAGCCTGGACGCTGCTCTGCCCTCACGCCCGGTTGAGAGAGACAGAGAGAGAGAGAGAGAGAGAGAGAGAGTTGTCCGTGAACGACAACTGGTAGCTCCCCAGCTGGTACTACTGTTGCTGTGTTAGCCTTGTTGCGATACTTCTGAAGGGGCCTTGCAGTTTGCCGTTGCGAGAGTTTTCACCAGGCTTCCCCAAACAATTTGGGGGGGGCGTGAAGCGCCGCGGAAGAGGGTCGCTCCCTCTTCCTCTACCCTCGCGAAAGAAAGAAAAGCACAGAACAGCAAAACACAGAGAGAGAATGGAGACAGAGGGGTCCTGGATGCCTCCTACGCCCGAGAGAGTGTGTCTTAGCAACATCCTGCTCATGTGGGTTCTAGTGGGCAGAGAACGAGAGAGACAGCGAGAGCGAAAAGCAAAAAGCAAGAAGCACATGAAAGAGGCGTGTGCGGAGATCCTGGCCAAAGGATTCCGCCCCTTGGCGCTCATTGGTCCAGACATGCATGAGTGCCGGGTGTGGAATCAGAAGGAGGCGTTGTGGAGTTTAAAGTATGTGGGGTCGCAGGTGTGCGCACATAAATACTTGAGACTTGCAACATGCGGGACCGAATGTCAGGGGGTGGTCTTTCAGGTTGTCTTTTGGTGCTTCGGGTTTAGGGAACAAATCTCACGGAGGAGGGCTGCACGGGGTAATTCGTCTCCTTGTCTTTCTGGCACGCAGCACCTCGCCTTTCCAAAGTTGCTTGATGTCTTGCTTCAGCCCGTGTCGTCGAGCCTTCCGTGTTCTGTTGTTTGGCGGCCTTTGTCTCCTGCGATGCAGGTTGCCTCTACGACCGCAGCCTTCTGGGATGCGATGGTGCTCCGATTGGCGCCTACTACGATGACTCCTGGGGAGGCAGCCGGGCTAAGGGTGCGAGCCCAGGTGTCTGAGGATCAACTCTTCAGATGCTGACCTGCCCGGACTCAGACCTGCAAGTCCACTTTTAAAGCTGTCTCGAGGGTTCGGTTAGCTTCCCCAGAGTTGCAGAGCTGCAGCCTCTTGAGCCTTCTCTCGACGAGGAGTTGCCAGCCGGGAGGGCTACGGAGAGCTCGGTTGCCGCAATGCGGATTTTGGAAACGCATGCTCCCCGGCGTCAAAACCCCCTCGCAGGTACTGTCTCCTGCAGGGGCCCTATCGAGCCAAGGTGTAAGGGGCTTGAGGCGGTAATTCTTATCCGGGACCCTGTTCCGCGGCACCCACTTCATTTTGCCTGACCTCACGTTGCCTGTAATCTGCCATCGACGAATCTTCTTGAATCTGGAATTTGAAATCCCTTAGCCTTCGGGTCAAAGTCACGTAGATTCCAGCACTGGTTCCATTCCAAGGCTACAATGACCACCATTACCACTTCGCCTACTACGTTGTCTCTGCCGCAATCCTTGTCAAGCTGAAGCCAGAGTATGCGACTTACGAGCCCTTCGTGTCCTTCGTGGAGACATTGATGCTTGATCTGTGTTGAATCCAGGACGAGTTGAGGTCGAAACTTTGGAAACACACTCGGAGCCTCCAAGCTGGCCTGACGGAAATTGAGAAACATGCTCCTCAACTTCTTGGGCCTGGGAGGACATAGTCCTAAAATAAGCAAGAGAGAGAGCTTCATGCATCACGATAACACGCTAGTTTCTCTCCGCCCACCCAGCTTCAACTGTCTCTACCTCTGCCCTTGCCGGGGCGAAAGTGATTGGAATGCTTGGGGGATGCGGAACGGTTGGCGTCTAGCTTCCGAACCGCTGACCAGGTTGAGGCCCCTTGCCAATTTTTTTCCAACCAGGCTTGCTGATTGAAGATTCGCGGCCACACGGTTCGTTCCAGATGTTTGAAAGCTTTTGGGACTCGGACCCCTGCTTGTGCACCAGAGACCTCCCTCCTTGAAGCCGTCTTTTCAAAAATAGCCGCCCAGGATCCGGGACACCGCGAACCCAAGCCGGGATGACACGTATCTCGCACGAAAAGTTCTGGGCAACAATCAAAGCCCTGTGAATTCATAGGAGCTGCGGACAAAAAAACACACGCACCAGAACACGATCTTCAGACTCCTGTACACTGTATGACAAGTCCCCGTGGCTCCAGATTAGGGGTGCCGGTGGGTGACGAGCTGGGCTGCAGGAGCTCAGACTCCACGGAGCAGCCTGAGGAAAGTTGCTTCTTGTTGTGGCTCCAGTTCACAAATCGGATCGGCCTTGAAGTTCCGCAGACGACGTCTAGACTACACAGCACACTGGGGTGTAGTCGGATTTGATGAGTCGTTTGTTCGCTTAGTTCAATCTTACATGGCTGCGTTTGTTCATAAGAAGTTTGTACAGAGAGTTTGAAGATTCCGAAAAGGGTGTCGCCGGAGAGCGGCTGCAAGCTGAACCCCGTCTCAGACTTAGATATTCTCGGTTTAAGCAACTTGCAGGTACTTTCCGACCTTCCGCGCTTTCGACTGGTTCGACCTGCACCCAGCCAGCCTTTAGGTGAGCGACAGCACGCCATCTCAATGTTCCAACCTCGATTCAGGTGTTCGGAAAGTTCAGGTTTGATACTCGCTCCAAGCATGTGGAGGGCCGCGGCAGCACAACTACTCTCCAGTGCTCACCAAACCCACTCAAGGCAACTACAAGACTATACCTCAAAGGGTGGAGCCCTGACGGATTGGTTTAGCAGAAGCTTTAAATCAACAGGTGGATGTGTGCGCCAGCTTGCTTCTAGTTTCGTGCAAGCTATGGGTTCGCAAAGTTCTGAAGCACCCAGGCACTCTTGGAGCCGTGGTGTCGTCCCAAGCGCTGACGGCAAAGATCAGGACGGGGGGCTCGGCCTGGCTTTGGCTTTTCGCCCAGAGACTGTGCCGCACATCTGCGCCAGAAGCTAGGAGTCCACTTCCGAAGAGCTGAACCTGTTGCTCCTCGGCTCCAGCTGTCTTCCCACAGGTCTTCCTTCCATTTGAGCTGAGGTTTCGGAAAGGTTCTTGGCTACTGAGGTGTGTTGTTGCCAGCCCAGTTTTTATTTGATTCGCCTGGAAGCCGCCGGCATCGCCCCTGCTGTACGACGCATTATGCTCATGGCTTGTCCGCAACATGTTGATAGGTCCCTCCTGAGCGCGGCTCTTTCGACACCTATGGTTCTATGCATCCTTCAGGAATACCTGCACTCCTTTCTGTCTCGTTTCTGCCGAATCGAGGTATGGAATCAAACTCTGGGGCTCCGTCATGGGGAAGCCTGTGCTGCGAGACCTTGGGGCCGCCTGGCTGCCGGCCCTGTTTCCGCGAAGTCTTGAGAAGGTAGAAAGCGATCGGAAGTCATGCGGTGTCACGAGATGAATCCCAAGACCTGAGCTCCTCCTGCCCGCCTGCAATCTGAGAGCCAACACAAGCCACATGCTCGAAGAGTGGGTGCTGCTATGGAATTCCACCTGAGCCGCATGTGTGAGAGATGGAGCCCTTTCGTGTCAGCAAGCCAACCCATGATAGCCACCCTTGCACGCGGTGGGCTTGCCCGGATCGGTCCTTTCTTTGTCTTTGGGCCTTGGGTCGATGCTTCTACCTCCCAGGCGACCATGCTTGCCCTCTGTGCCTTGACTGTGAGGGAGTTCTTCCTGATGAAGCACCTCGGCCAAAAATTACGTTCTAGCGGCGTGTAAGCAGCTCAGCGATGTGAGCGCAGGTGTGGCTTCATGCCAACAGGAGAAGCAGTGTACTTCCAGGACCTTGATCCTCCCTGCGAGGTCAGACAACATTCACCACCCAGCGGACTTTGTCACGAATCATGTGACCGGCATCTTCTTCCAGAACAAGGCCATATCATATTCTGGGGATTGAGACTTCATGTTCTTACCCTTCGGTGGCTTTGCGGGCCAAATAAATCCCGGATCACTGGCCCTTTTGTTGAAAGGTCGACTACGCTACATGGTTCGGATGGCGCTATGAGCCCCTTGGATTCGCCTATGAGTTGCTCATCGTTTCGGCTACCATCACCCGACGAACCTCAGTCATACGCTTTGCCAGTGACACGGGGGCTCCGCGTGTAGGTGGGTTTCTCTTCGTGCGTGAACCGATTTTCCACAGCATTGACTGTGATGTCAAGGTACATCCATGGCATTCAGATGCTTCCGCTGTCTCCGGCATTGCTCCTTTCGCGCACGACAGAGTTCTGCACCCAGGACATGCGTGAAGTAGCAGCGCCAGATGCGTTCGGCTGCAAAGCATGTCCTAGATCGATTGCTGGGTTCAAAGTTTACACAGGGTTCCAGGGTCTGCATGCTATGACTTCGGCACGGCCAAGTTGCTGTGACTTCTTGCCTGCCGTTGCCTGCCGGAGTTCAGATCCACAAGCGCCAGGCCGCCAGGCTTGCGAGTTTTGTGTCGATGGGTCCAAAAGTCCGCGAGCTCTCCTGAAGACTGATTGTATCCTCCGTAGTTTCACGGTTGCGCGCGATCGGTTGGTCCCTAAGCTCTGAGCAAGGCAGGCATTGGTAAGTTTACACCCAGCACATGATGCACTCGAGACTCTATCCTGCACTGCACACATGGCAAGCGCCTCGTGTGGGACTGATTGCGCATCCCGCAAGATCCCTGCCATGCCTTCTCCATTTACTCTGAGATGTCTGGCTGAGTGCAAGGTTATCGCGATCTGCCCAGACTGAAAGCCCTGGAATTCCATACAAGGCATGTGCAACATGAAGCCGGATGATTCAGAATCCAGACGAATCACCCACCAGGAGTGGAACAACATCCTGTCGCGGCTGGCTTTGCCGTCGACCGATCCCTGGACGTCGATCCTGCACCTTGGTGAGTTTCCACAGGTTGGCAGACCATTTTCGTCTTGAATCCAGGGGCATACTTGTCGCATGAGAGCACAGCGGCACTTCGACGATGATTGGAGTTCTGGCGGAGCTGAGACAACTTACAGGTATAAACGGGCGCATACAGGCGCCACAGCCCAACTCTGTTCTTCTGAAGCCTGCCTGAGGCTCACGGGTACACTCGCGCTCGTGGATCCGGCAGATGCCTACTCCAGGCTCATGGACATTGACGACGACGCTAGCCTCAAAGACGTTTTGGGCTGCAGGGTTCAGCTGGAGCCACTGCAGACAAGCCTTGAACCCTAACTCCAAATCACAGGCCAAACCACGAAGTCTAAATCCTGACGCCTGTGAGCGGAAAGACGCGGCTGCAGCTCAGGCCTTCATGGACGACGGCCTTACGAAGGCATCTGGGCAAACGTTGGCATTCTTGGGCCAGCTTGTAGCGCACATCTACAGACAGGTCTTCTGTTTATGTCGTTTATGGTAGTCTAGAAAGAGGTCTGAGGTCTGAAATGGAAAGTGTTGTTCTTTGAAGAAAGATCTGCGCGACTCGCACGGAACGTCGGTGGAGCGAACCGGCGAACCTCCCCTTTCCCGGTGTGTTTTGGGAGCCATTGGGAGCCCAAAGCAGGAGAGGGCCACGAACGGACCCAGGTACGTTGAAAATTCAGAGGTTGAGGCCTGGGCTGTGATCTCGGATCTCCCGCACTTTCGGTCTCTTGTTTGGGCACACGGTGACTCCTCGATGCAGGTCTGGGCTCTCTACTGGACTGCCACGGCCGCAGCTGGAACGCCCCCTGGCACTACGACTGCTGGTGCCACCGTCTCGACCACGAACGCCGGGGGGTCCTCCACGCCCTCTGGCTCACGAGCACAGTTTCGGGTTCTTCGCCGAAGAGTAGACATTCAGACTACCATGATTAGCAGTTCAACGTCAGCATGAGCCTCTGAAGGATCGGGGGCCGGATGAAAATCATTAAGTCGGGGCGGCCTTTGATGTTGGGAGTCGGGGGTAGGTTGTCGCTGTTGCAAGGCTACATCTATCAAGATCCGTTGAGCTCTCTTAGAATGTGAATGTGTGGATGCCGCCCCGGACTCTGCACCGTTGTGTTTGCTGTGCCAGGTCCTTCTTGGCGCCGACAACGACCACGACTACGACGACTACAACGACCACAACGACTACAACGACAACGACCACAACCACAACTACCACAACAACGACAACTGCAGGGCACCTTGCTACCCAGATTAGTTTGGTAGTTTTGTAGTTTTGCTGCAACCGTTGCCGCACTCACGCGGTCCGAGGCCTTCCACGAACCCGGGCATTCCGGAAGTCAACTTGGCCCTGGAGCGGCGCACAGACGCTTGGAGCGGTTCGAGGGAGCGAGGGAGCAGCCAGTTCGCCGAAGTCTGAGCGTCGTGTGCCTTTGTAGGTAACAAATCCGCCCAGGAAGCTTCCAGCGAAGCGCCAACTTTCACCTCCCAGTGGGCCGTGGACGGCTTGTGGCCCGGTGAAAGACTCAACTCTACGGTGTTTTTATTTTGCGAAGTAGATGTATAGGTTGAATGGAATTCGGAGTCCAACCCCTTCCTCATAGCTTGAAACCCGAACCCTACACCGGCACTAGGTTCCTAGGTCCTAGGTGTTCATGGTCAGTCAAGATCTGCGAGATGCAGGTTTGCCACGCGGTGGAGCCCGGCAGAAGAGGTTCCAGCTGGGTTTCGGCACCAGAACTCAATAGGCAGTGCTGATATATGGAAGCATCAGTTTTCTGACCCCGGCTGCTTTACCCCAAGCCTTCGTTTTTTCCCTGGGCGACTCAGCATGGTTCACGTGCTGCCTCGGTGGGAGGATGTGGCTCCATGGATAGCGGTCGAGCTGGATGGCATCTACCAGCTGTCCCACATTGTGAGCTGCCAAGACTCACCCGGGTTCATGGGCTCAGGGACCAAACATGACCAGACCTGGGCTCTCTGCAGGTCGTTGTGTGGCTTCAGTTCTACCCCGCCACCTATGAGATCCAAACCAAGGCAAAGGACCTGCCCATGTCGCTGTGTTTTCGGTGAGCACGACAGGGAAGAAGCACAGTATCATCGTCAGTGCGTATTGGATCTTTCGTACTGCCGCGCTATCGGTCCTGCGTCTCTGCATCAATCGGACGTCAGGGGCCTCTTTTCCTTTCAGCCTTTCAGCAGTTCCAACAGTCGACCTCTGGTACTGTCGTTTGCTACAGGCATGCAGATGTCCTCCCGCCTGCCAACTGCCGAAGTGCTCAGGGCAGCGGGGACACCTGGGTGACCCTGGCCACGGAAGTGGGCCGCGCCGGTGCGGTGAAGACCGACTTGCAAGGCCACAGAGACGCAGTCACTTCCATGCTTTGTGGCGAGTTTTCTAGGTGCTAGGGTGGCTAGTGACGAAATCACATCAGGATTTTTGACTGTCAGCAGCACACACCCTCAGATCCCTTCACGGAAGAGTAACTCGGGACACTCAAGCTCAGAATCTTGCGCTGGCATCGACAGGCGAAACCCATTTCCCATGCGCCCTGTTTCCCCAACCGTAGGCGGCGAGGCCGAACCAGTTGACCTACCAACAATCCAGCAGTGCTGGTGGATTCACACGGCAGCTGTGATCGAAGCATGTTGAAAAGAACTGCAGACATCCATGCAGCACTTTGACAGCTGCCCACGTCCAAGACCTTCGTGTCTGCACCCCTTGGAGCCTGGACATCCCTTGAGCCTCTGTAGGCTCCGTCAGCTGGCTGCGCTTGCTTTGCCACGGCGGAGAGGAGCTTCGCGTCTTCGAGCACGCCGGCAGCAGGGGCTCCCGAAGTCGCCGAAGCCCTTGAGGGCCCAAAGTTCAAAGGGCCCAAAGCCTTAAAAAAGCCCGAGTCGCAAGCTCGAGAACCCAAAGCTCAAGGTTCCAGGTCTACGGTACGCTGGACACGGCGACGACCACCACGGAGCTGGTTGAGACAGGCAGGGCCATGTGAGCTTTGATGGATGCGTGGGTCACGGAATCAGCGAGCACCTTCTAAGCTACTATTGTGCTTTGCCTAAACCCGGTCCTTCCGTCAGGCACGTCCACCACGACAACCACGCCTTTCGACGGCCTGAACCTCGCTCAGGGCAAGCCAGTGCATCCCGACCGAATCGGATGACCTTCTGGATTTGATTTGTTGTATGGGTAATTACACAGCACAGCGCCCTCCTACTTCTAGTCGCTTGCCGACTTGATGCTATCTGCTGGGAGCTTGCTCAGGTCTTCTAGGTTCGGATCTAAGTCCAGAACGGACGGGTGTTTTCTGTCCATAGTTTTCGGTGAGGTATCTGCAATCCTTCGCCGAGGCTTGCTTCCTCCTTCCGTTCGCCTACGGAGCATGCCTACCGCGCAGTTGCTGCTTCGCATGCAAGCAGAGAGAGACTAATGAGCGCACTTCTTCCGAGTGTGTGTTCCCATGCTAACATCCGGAGATGGGCCAGCCCGACACTGTCACTGTCAGAGCACGGCATCCCGAGGACGGCATGCTTGAGACGCACTGGGCCTCCGCCCTTGCGCCGGAGCAGTGGATCTGGGTGGACCTGCACCTCGTCTAGCCAATATATCTGTACAAGGTAGTATTAGGATTATTGCATTCTAGTTCGGGAAAAATGCAACTTTCAGATCTGTCCAGCATGGGTCTGGCTTGAAATGATTGCAATGTTAGCCTCCGCCGTCCCGATGAACTTCCAGCATAGAACACACCAAAACCTAGGCCCTTGCATGATTTTTGAGAGCCGGTGTTGTTTTTGCCGGACCATCAGCTCAGAGAGAGGCCCTTATAAAGGCCAGAGAACTGTTCAGAGATCCCTGCAAATGGGTACACGTGCAGTGGCCTGCGAACGTAGACTAGACTCACTAGACCCGTGCCGCCATGCAGTGTGGGGCTCCCACCCCCCCAAGAATCCCAAGCTCAGTGTCCCCGTTCTGCGCTCACGTAAGAGATCTGCTGGCCACGAGGCTGGGTGCATACGATCTCACCTCGGTGCTGGTTCTGTGGGGCTCGGACTTTCCAGGCATCTCGGCTGACCCTTGGTGCTGCTACTTGTACATGTATCAAGGGCGGTCCACCCACTGTACCAGCCGCGTTTTCTTTGTTCTCCAGAAGTTGATAGAGCAACGCCGCAAGTCAAGAACTAAAAAGCTTAGACCCAGGTTCGGCGGCCGGCTGTGAGTTCGTTGAGGGTGCTGTTTGTGCTTTGCAGTGAATGGTTGTACTTGCCTTCATTTCTAGGAAGAGTGTTGCTTGACCGTCGCAGCATTTGCAGCAACAGGGCAGCTGAGTCTCGTGGAGAGGGTGCTGTTTGTGATGAAACCAAGCCAAAACTGCGGGACCTACCCAGCAACCTTGCAAAGATGTGAGGTCGTGGAGGGTGCTGAAGCCAAGCCAAAACCGCGTGACCTACCCAGCAACCTGATGAAAATGTGAGTTCGTTGAGGGTGCTAAATAGAAAGCTCCACCTCCCTCAGCCATGTCAGATGATCCACAAAGGATTCTGAATTGGGTGTCTCGTCTTCTGCAAGAGACGGAAGATGAAAACAAAGAGTAGCGGCGCATAGCAAGACAACTAGCAGAAGCCAGTTTACAGCGTGGCAAGAACAAAGGAGTCTTGCTGGATGCCCTTTTCAACCATGCCTGTGACTCGAGAGCAAGCGAGACCTATGGTGTGGTCAAAGGTCTCGCTTGCTCTTGAGTCACAGGCACTGACAACAACGGCTCAGGCGATCTCTGGTTGAAAAGGGCATCCAGCAAGACTCCAACCCAATAGTGGCAAGTGCGAAGTTTATCATGACAGCGACCGATCGTGCAAGTATTTCTCGGGCTTGGTGGATGTTGCATGCCACGATTTTCTTGTACGGCATCCGTGGAGTTTGCCGATGAGTTGGTCAGTTGTTAAGTCACTAGGACTACGGACGACCATATTACAGCTTCTGCCAAAAGACTCTTGCCCGCCATGTTGGTGCCAGAATCGAGTAGTCATGCCGGGATCAGTCAAAAGAGAACCTGGAATAAATCCATCGTTTCATAGGGTGTCGTGCCCGAGAGACGACAAGAAATCCAGAAAGAAGCGCTACAAGAAAACCCGCGATTGGTGGTGCAATCGCAAGCGTGAAGTTTCTGATGACCGTAGCGGAAAACACGAGGAAGTGAAAAACATCATTGAAGATCGATGTACTTGGACCGACAGGACCGATGCAAGCCATGTTGCATTGATCAAGAAAGCCATCGCAGAGCATTGCGGCATCGGCGTTCGTGAAGTCTCTATCATTCTGAATACCGTGAAGATCAAATCAGAGTCTCGTGCGACGGCAGCCGGAGGTTGGATATCGACGCGATCCGGTATTAATTCATGGAGAGCTGGCATTGCAAATTGCCTGCATAGGTATGGAGCGAACTCCAAGTGGGAAGCATCGGAGCATGGAAAATGTGCTGTAGCGTTTAAGCTTGTCGCGCATGCCGTTTTCAGCAGATTCTTGAGTCTAGAAGCGTGTTCTGGCCTGAGGCCAATATTCCATCCAGACGGCCCCCAATGGCATTGACTGGACGACAGCCGCTGTGGACTCGGGTCCTGATTATTTGTAAAGCAACGCACTATAGACACTAGACGAGTCTCCTAGGCAGCGTTCTATGTGTGGGTGTTTCACCTGTGCAGCGTCGAGTTTCCGCTATGCTGGGGCATGCAGTCATGCTGGGGGCCCCGCGACGAACTCTGGGGCTTTGGCGATGCAGGGCCTTTTCCGTGGAAAGTCAGCAAGACGTGGTACAGGGTCGCTGAAATCTCTGTGATGCGAAGGAGACGGGTATGGCGGGTGCCGTCCGCACCACCTTTCCGGAGCAAGTCACAGGCCCCGACTTGCTTCCGTCGGGCTCGCGAGCCGCACTACTTAGCAGGCTTGAAGCTGACGAGTGCGCCTGCTAACTGGTAGCTGACGTCACAAGGCCTCAAGATTGGCGAAGCGTAGCCACAAAGACTAAGTCCCTCCGCCCTGCTCAGCCTCGACGCAGGGCAGTGGATCCGAATCTTTTGCCACTCCAACACAGGCCGACGGGTTTTTGCCCAACTGCAATCACCAGTGCACCAGCGGCAGGATTTGTGCAGGAAGGCCTCCGAACACCCGGCCTGGGCCTTCTGCCAGGTTGCGGCAGCATCGACGAGCTGCGCATCTTCGGGGCGGATCCCAGCTCGTTGGTGGCAGGTTTATGTGCAGTTCACAGGGTGATCCACGGCGCTGATGGTTCACGGGCTTTCCAAATCATTTTGAAGCTTTGAGTGCATTTTCAGCCGAATTGCCGGGACTGCTAGACGGCGGTGTGTAATGAAGCCATCGTGCAGCACCCAAGCTATGCGACGCCTTACACTAAGCTCTGCGATTCCGGAGCATCCAGGCTTCCTCTCCACAACGGTCACCACGACGCAGCCAGGAGCCTCTGTAGCCGATGAAATTTCTGCGTCTAGGCAGGGGTGCCTGCCAAGGCCAGATGCTCTACCAGAGGAAGCTGTCGGTTTCGTCGGACAAGTGAATGCTCACTGCCTGCCGCTTTCAGGAGCTACAGCAAGCACGACGCCCAGCACCAGCGAAGGTGTCACGACGGAAGCTGCCACCACGAGCGCCGGTGCAGCGACAACAGGTGGCTTGAGAACTTGAGAGAACTTGAGTTCCGTCTCTGACGTTGGGGGGTTTTGGAGTCTCTGAGACCTCACGGCCTCGCCGTCTGAGGCTCTCGGCCCGCCGCTGTGAACCTGGCCCTGAACAAGCCGGCCCTCGCTTCGACAGGACGAGCGTCGCCAGGGGCGGCACAGGGATTCTGGTCGAGAGCTCGGTGGCTCTCACGTCTTTGCTTGAACGTGTGTGCAAGGCACAGCCCTGATGCGCAGGACTGTTTCAGACACGGGCTGTGGATGGCTCGCTGACAACCCAGCGGCTCGTTTGTCTCATACGAGCTTCAGTTGTTTCCGCCATCCGTCATCACTGGGTAGGTGCGAGGGTCGTCGTGTAAAAAGCAGCAGGAGAACACACGGCTTAGCCGCCGATGCTTCAGTTGCTGCAGTTTCGCCAGAGGTGTGACGGAGCGCCGGCCTTTGAACTACGCAGGTTTGAACCATGAATGTTGCTTGATGTCATGCGCGGTGTTTCTGGTACATTCGAACCCGCCTACTCCCCGCTTCGGTGATGTGAGACCTCAAGGAACGGCGATGTGCCGTGTAAACGTGTTTCAGCAGGAGAGTTCGGACACGCCCCCCCAACAACACTCAGAAGCCGGAATTTTATGATTCTTGTGGAGCGGCACCAATGCGGCACCGATGTTCCGAATGTCGCAAGAACATAATACGTAGTTGTGCTGTTGCAAAGTAAGTGTGTGTGTGTGTGTGCGTGGGCCTCACATGCAATCTTTCCCAGACATTCTCTCCTCTGGTTCTAAGGTGGTCATCACTGCCCGGAGACCAGACCCCGTGGCTTTGGGTGGACCTTCGCGGACCCTTGGATGTCTGGAAGCACGAGCAGCCGAGCAGCCGGTGCCGTTTGTTGTGTTTGTTGCCATCCGGAGTGAGAGCCGGAAGGGGTAGCGGTGGGTGGGTGGGGTGGGATTCGTGCTCAAGTCGTGCGAAATGTCGTCCGGGCGATGTTTTGCCCTTCAGAGCGTCTGCGTCTCAGCCGGAAGGTCGACCCAGAAGGTCGAACGGAAGACCTTGCCTCCTTTGCTGCTGGATCAGGCATGTCTGCCACCTCTAGACCATAAACTAGCTGAAGCCACCCCGGCTGCTGAGGACGCCATGATGTCTCCGAAGTGGTGATCTCGTGGGCATCAGAGTTTCCTGCAGAGTTCCGCCTGGAGGTTTCTTGGCCCAGCTTGGAATTGCAGGCTCTCATTCAGGCGTTCGGAATCTCTGCCAACCTCTCAGTGAGAATGCCAGAGCCCAGATCCCCAAGAAGCCAAGCGACACCTGGACCTGAACACGGGACATTCCTCACGACCTCCGGCCGTCAGCTCAAAAACAGACCGCACTTTTGACCGAGCTGGAAGCTTGATATGCTTTGCACAAACGATTCCGGATGAATCCGAGGCTTTCAACAGGACCAGCATGAACTTGCATGCCTGTAAGGAACGCAGAAGTGCCGGTGGAAGGCTTGTCATCGTGACAGACCTAGACCGTAAGCTGCCCTAAGCCCTGAACCGTAGACCTGCGACAAGGCTGGGTACAGTGCGGCCCATTGGACACCTGTGATCACAGCAGCAGGGCAGGCCAACAGCGAGGTGCCACGAGCTTACGGCGCATGATTTCTTTTTGGAGTTCTCGGGTTTGGGGCTCTTTTTAAACGTGGATTCGGGTGGATCGTTGCAGGAGAGGCGTACGGTGCCATCAGTAAAGGTTGCATCAGGCCAATTGTGGGGCTACAAAGAGCATAGGTTTTTTATGGTCCATACGCGTGGGTAGTCCGTCATCATAAGGTCTCAATCCAACTGTTCAGGCCCGGCTTGTCACTTGACATGTGACAGACTTTCTGCAGGTACGCGTGGTCTTCAACCCGGTGAACTTGCAGTTCCTGCGCGTTCTTTGCCTCTCGTCTCGGCTCGGCCTTCATATAACCCATCCTGCACAACAGCCCCTGCCCTAAGCGTGGAAGCCTTGAGCAGTGCCGTGCCACGCAACCAGCTGGGACTGAAAGACTTCAATCCAGGGCCCAAGATCAAGCCTTTGTAAGGTACGGACCTGGGCTCTTCGAGCGGCTGCAGCATTCGGGAGCTCGAGGTGGGAAGTGAAGAGCAAACCGTGGGATGTGAGGCTTAAGGTTTAAGCCAGCTGAAGTTTAGCACGACTGTGGAGGCCAGAAAGACCCCCAGTGAGCTGAATTGCTTTGCTCGCATGCTGCAAGGTGTGGGAGTCGTGTAAGGGCTTGAGCCACGCCGTTGAGGGATTTGGTTTGAAGAGTTTGCACCGATGCAATACATCGAAAAGTGCACGTCAAATCCGAACGCAAAAACATCCAAGTTAGTGTTTGTAATCCCGAAACCCATCCTAAACCCTTTTGTTGTTAAGCGAGGTGTTTAACTCCGGCCCACCGGAGACCACATCCACCTCCAGCACGACGCAGAGCACGAGTGCGCTCTCGTCCTTGTTCAGTATTTTTTGGGTTTATATCGTCTTGTAATGTACGGAGACTGCGTGGTGTGGGTTTTCATGTGACCAAGGGTCATGGGCACGAAAAGCTGTTCTCGTGAGTCCAGTTCGGTGTTAAAGCTTTGCTGGATCTTCCAACAATGTGCCGGCCGTTGCCGTCTGCATTCCACAGCGTTGCGGCATAGAAGCCTCATATCCTCGACCTTCGAGTTACTGCTTCATGTAGTTGCATTAAGGGTTGCTTTTTCGCAGACTCGGCCGCCGGAAGTGATAAACGTCTTAAAACAGCCGTTCATACAGCACAGGGGAAGATGGCCCGAACTTGTTGAAGCAAGAAGGGAAGACGCGAAGCTCGAGAGCCCAGGTCGCAACAACTGGATCCTCCGTCACTTCCGTCACAGTGGAAGCCACAACCGGTACCACCACCACCACGACTCCCAATTCCACGGATCCTGGCTCCTCTGCAAGGATATGCGTTGGGGTCGTAAGCGGTAGACTAGCACAGGTACAAGTAGATGTCGATTGCCTGCCCTGTCGATTCCTGAGCACAGAGATTGGTGAGACTAGGGAAGCCCAGCTCCGACAGCGACTCTGGCGAACCTTGCGATGTTGTGCTAAGGTTCTGAGAACACTTCGACATCGACGATTACCATCACCACCACGCTTGCTCCGAATGTTGCTGAGAGGAGACGCTGACACGTCCATCACTGATGGAGCTGACCATGTCGAATGGGGGATAATGGGGGTACATGACCCCAGGCATACAGCTCTGGTTCCGTACTTTCTGCAACACAGCTGCGTAACGCCAGCATCATGGAAATCGCAGTCGTGCCCTGAAGACGGACGACTCAGTTACCGCCATGTGCATCATAATAGCAACCAGAATCGTAGTCGTCACGGTTTCGAAGTTCGCAATAGTGGCAGCAAGATATGAGCTGCAGGAAGCCCATCCGTGCCTCGTCTCAGCGGTCGCCCACGGAGTACGCCGCACGTGCGAACGACGGCGACGAGGGCACGCGCTGGGCATCCGGGGGAGGCCAAACGGACCCTCAGTCTCAGACTTGTGCAGTGCAGGGAAGAGTTTTGTCAAAGTGCCGCCGGCATTACGGCTTTAAGTCGCGCTGCTGCATTTTGAGAGACTGAAGGAGTGGATCCTGATCGACCTCCTGGGCAAATATGTGTTGCACGGGGGAGTCATCCTGTGGGGGGATGCCGTGCCGACCAGCTACGGCCTCGAGGCCATTCGCCTGCTGAGTTCAAATCCTGTTGCCGGCTGCCGCTCTTTTTGGCAGGTCAGTTCTGACGGCGTGAACTGGGCACCGGTGTGGCCTTCATGCATTCAGAGGCGAGGTAGAAGCTTACGACGACGCACTGACGCAGTTGCTGTTTCGTCAAGAGCATTTCGCGTTTTCCCTGTTCGTGCATAAGGTTTGATGAGATGGAGCCGTCAGTGGACTACCGCAACTACCACAGCCTGCCCAGCATCATCGGGCAGTGGCTGAAGGTGACATGCCACAACGAAGGCACTGCCGGATGCAGCATGAAGGAGCCGGAAGGGAGCCTAGGGCCTAGGGCCTGTGGGAGCCTTAGCCTTGGGCTTTCCAGAATCATCCGTCCATCCGTGGCGGCAGGAAGTTTTCGTGCACGGCATCCCGGCAGCGGACGTGAGCCTGGCCGAGCTCGAGGAGCTGGCGCAGAGGCCACCTGAAGGGCCGGAAATCCCAAGTTTCGGAGGATGTCGGAGGGTCCCCTTTCTGTCGGCTTGCGCTTGCGAAGAGCATGAAGTCAGAAGATCTTCGTGGCGGTAGCCATTGTAGCCAGTGACCCACTCTCCATGTGTCATCACTGCTGGTCCATGAAGCCCAACTCAAAGCCGCAGCCGAAGGACGTCCGTTGCGAGCAGAGTCTTCCCGTCGGCGTGCTTGGCCTTCATGTTACTGAAGATGATTGTATAGTAATATGAAGCAGTTGAGGCCCTGCCTGAATGTTTGCGGTGGGCTTGGCCCGTTGCATGTATTCTGCCATACTTTGCCTACTTTGCCTAGCTGGCCAATGCTTTGCTGGTGTCACCGGCCATTGCCAGAAAAACGCGTGAAGATATGGCTCTTTTGAGCGATTGTGATGTTGGAGTGTACTTGTACAGCCGGCCGTCAGTTTCCGGCCTTTAACTTGTACAGGATGTGTATGGACAGCCGTACTTCATCCTCCATACAATTTCGAGAGACCCTCTGTACAGCCGGTACTCTGCACCTGTGCACGCTTCTTGATACTGGGAAGCACTGCTACAAGGGCATTGTTGAGAACGACCTACTCTGGCCTTATATGCAGATGTCGCCTTTGCGAAACGTCCGACGTGAGCATGTTCGCAGGGGCGATTTTCCACTCTGTGCCACCACTTGTATGTCGCAACTTGTTTAAGGTTTTCGTGACCAGAGCTTTGTGCTGACAAGGGCATGAAAGTGATGTGTCGCACCATGTTGCTTGGCCCGGCAGAGACTGGGAAAACACGACTTTCGCATCGTCACCAATGTGACGACATGCGACTGTTTCGATGTCAGCATTCTGACACTCAGAAAAGCGCCTCCGCAGCCTGTTGAGGAACCTCGAGCTCAACCCACTCACGAAACAAAGCTCAGGCATTTTCCTCTTCAGATTCTCGTCCCCCGTCGTCAACATTTTCTTCGTTGTAGCGCCTGTAGAAGGAGAAGTGGGCAGCAGGGTAGAAGCAGCACCAGCAGCCGCAGCGAGTACCTTGTTCATGCAGGCCCTCGGCTCATCGCGCAAGATGGCCTTTGAAGAGAGGTGTGGCCCCCAGGAGCCAGTGTATCTGCATACAGCTCCGTCCTGGAGAGTACGAACGTTGCCGTGATGCCGAGGTGTCTTCAGGAGCTGCCCCTTGTTGCAGCACTGATGAGGCGACGGACAGCGAGTGGTGGGATTAGTTTTGCGCATGGCGGCAAAGTGTGCCGCGCTGCGACTCACTGTCTTGATGTTGGAACGGAAAGATTCGAAGACTCCTGCCGTGCCGCGCAGGGCCTACATTCCCTCTGCCGCCTCGGTTCTGTTCGCAGCTCTCCAGGTCTGCAAGCTCACGTTTCCAGGTTTCAGGGAGCGTGTAGGGAGCTGAGACGTTTGAAGAGTCAGAAGAGATGTGCTTCTTTATCCCTGAATATTGGCCATCTGAATCCCCAGCCCCGAGTACCGTCACAGAGCCCCGCTGCACGGATAGATCGGTATATGCATGTGAGGGTGTGGTGCGTTTATGTTTATATGCATATGCTTTGCATACAACATAAATTGTATGCCTGTATGTATGTATGCATGTATGTATGTATGTATGTGTGTATGTACATAAACAAGAGTGCTAAAATCTTCGGGCATAACTTGGGATTTTCGGGCAAATATGCTCAGGAAACTGCGAGCGTTTCTTCAGGAAGCTTCAACGGCATGTTTCAGACCCTTTTTGCAAAAATCAAGCATAAGGAACCGCGTTTTTCAGACACAACATGCCGTATGCATTTAGAAGGCGTGTAGAAATGCATGGTGATTTTGCGGGGGGGAGTTGGCAGCATGGCTTGGCTTGGCTTTCGCGGGGGTGGGGTTTGAGGGGGACAGGTACAGGTGACCGTATGCATTTAGATGGCATCTAGAAATGCATGGCGACCCTGTGGGGCGAGCTTGGCAGCAAGGCTTGGCTTGGCTTCCGCAGGGCTGGGGGTTGGGGGGGAAGGGGCTGGCCCCGGTGGGGGGTTGAGGCGGACAGATACAGGTGACCGTATGCATTTAGATTGCATCTAGAAATGTATGGCCATGCTGTGGGGCGAGCTTGGCAAGTGTTCCCGAACATGCCAGCCTAGTTTCTCGATTTCTGGCCAGCCTCTTGAACAACCGACGGCGATTCGTGAATTTTCGGGCCATTCCCTATTTTTCGGGCGTATGTGCGTGAAATTCCACGAACAGTTTCCAAGCATAGCTGCGCAAAATTCCTTGCACCCCATATTTATATTAAAACACATACAATACATACAAATACCATTCCTACTTATCAGGTGGAATGAGACCGGAGCCCTGAAGGAATGTTTAAATTCGTCGCCCCAGGCGCGGCTGCTCGCTGCCTTCAGACGCGAGGCCTGTACGGGGAAAGGCATTGAGTAGAGATGCGGGGTCGACCTTGTGGCTTTTTCTGCGCTGTCCAACTGCACAGATGGCAGCACCTGCCCGGATGTGACTGTGACGTTCATGAGCCCTGCAGACGTCTCGAGTCATCTGCAAACCCGTATTGGACAGCTCCGTGCATGTACTTCAACTCGAATCTCTTTGGTCAGTCTGTCGAACCTGTACTGCGTATGCATGGATACATGCGCATGAACTTCAGCTTGAATCGGTGCTGGGGACTCTTTTTACCGTGACACGCTAGCTCCGGATGTTTCCGATGTGAACTTTCATGTGATTGGTGTCTGTTGACGAGCACTTTTGTGTCGCTGCTGGCGGTGTTGTGTAATGCTGCGTCATAGGCCGACACCGCGCTCTTTTAGTGGGGTCTTTTGATCAACATATCCATCGCTTTTCTGCATCATGACGGTGTTTGAAGGAATGGTCGCGATTCTTTTTGGATCACTTTAGGTTTGTTGGCTTTCCTGGGCGAAGATGACTATGGCTTGCCGGCGCCGCGCAATTACTAAATCACCTTCCCCGGAGTCCAGAAGTGTCCGTTATTTGCCACTTAATCGTCTCCGAGTGGAGAATTTTCAACAATTGGCCCACTTCTAGATTTCCAAGAGTCCCCATAGATGCACTCCACCCTCGTGGTGATACTGGACGCAACTAGCTGTAGTGTTAGTCAGGTTGAAGGTGTTTCGGGATGGAGGAAGTGCCTGTAGCCACTATTTTGCCAAATTGCAGCAGTAGAAGTTCGTTACCAACGGCGAGAAACCTCACACACAAAATCCAACAATGTTTGAGGAGGAATTGCGGTGGCATAGTATTGGGGCCTGCAAGCAGTACTGCTTCTAAAGTTCCCGATAAGAAAACCAAAGCATAATGTTTGGGCCTGCCTGTCATCCGTATGAGGTTGGCTACAGGGATGACTTCCTAAGCTTACCGGCGCAAACGCTGCCCACCCCCAACCCTACAGGTACGGCGAAACAAACCAGTGCTCAGGCGCACCAGAAGTCCGACGATGAATTTCTGTGCAAAGTCCGCGGACACCGGGGTTTTGGGGCCGGGGAATTGCGAGCGACAGGGAATCGGCAATGTCACGCCGGAGGCACTTGCAGTGACGGTGTTCTGTGAGTCGAGCCTCCATCTGCTCACCAGTCCAGTCATGCAACTTAGGGTTTAGCGAGCAGAATCTACACTGTCTGGCACAACAGAAACGGAAACTATGCGCTCGAACAGTGCTCTCGGCTGCCAAACGCCTCCTGATATCGTGCAGTGCCCTTCGCTGACTCATCTCGTCAGACAGAACTGGTCTTGGAAAGTTCTGCACGCTTTGTGAGCAGGAGTATTCGAGGACATTGGGGCCGCTCCTATCAGCCATGCCGACATGTTTGCTCCAGCATCTATTCACGACACGGGGTAACTTCTCCATCTCAAAATCGCTTGCCGTGCTCGTGCGCGGTATGCCAGGGCTACGGTATCGTGTGTACATCGTGAAAGATTTTCTCAATGAGACTCGTAGCAAGTGTCCTCAGGCATAGACGGGAATAAACTTCAAATCCTACATCGTTCAGGCGGCTTAGCAATGCATCCCAAGCATGAGAAGCTTTTTCGTGACAGAAGTCACGACCATCGGAATTGGCGTAGCCATCATCGTCCTCGTGGCAGTCGTCGTAGTGATGTTGGCAGTAGAAGTAGTTGTAGTAGGAGTAGTAGTAGTAGTAGTAGTAGTAGTAGTAGTAGTAGCAGCAGTAGCAGCAGAAGTAGCCGTAGCAGTAGCAGTAAAGTAGCAGTAGCAGTGACAGTGGCAGCGGCAGTAGCGGTAGCGGTAGCAGTAGCAGCAGCAGCAGCAGTAGCAGTAGCAGCAGCAGTAGTAGCAGTAGCAGTAGCAGTAGCAGTAGCAGTAGCAGTAGCAGTAGCAGTAGCAGTAGCAGTAGCAGTAGTAGCAGTAGTCGTAGCAGTAGTCGTGTAGTAGTAGTGTAGTAGTCGTGTAGTCGTAGTAGTAGTAGTAGTAGTAGTCGTAGTCGTAGTCGTGGTCGTAGTCGTAGTCGTAGTCGTAGTGTAGTCGTAGTAGTAGTCGTCGTGGTCGTACTAGTCGTCGTAGTAGTAGTAGTAGTAGTAGTAGTAGCAGTAGTAGTAGTAGTAGTAGTAGTAGTAGTAGTAGTAGTAGTAGTAGTAGTAGTAGTAGTAGTAGTAGTAGTAGTAGTAGTAGTAGTAGTAGTAGTAGTAGTAGTAGTAGTAGTAGTAGTAGTAGTAGTAGTAGTAGTAGTAGTAGTAGTAGTAGTAGTAGTAGTAGTAGTAGTAGTAGTAGTCGGAGTCGTAGTAGTCGGAGTCGTAGGAGTAGCAGGAGTTGTAGGAGTTGTAGGAGTAGTATGAGCAGCAGCAGAAGCAGTAGAAGCACCAGCAGGAGGAGGAGGACGAGAAGCAGCAGCAGCAGCAGTGTCGCTGTAACAGCCAGTGCTGCAGCACTACAGTCATAAACTCGCATGAACGTGCTGAGCAGGTCGCATCTCAGAGCTCGTGTCTGCCATGCACAGCTCGCGGGCCTGCGGCGAGGCCTGGTCGGAAGCCGCAGCTTCATTGAGCACTTTTCTGGTCCGCAGCTTCTGAGTCCTGAGACATGCAGTCTTTCACTTTTTCTGGCATTCTGGCTTTGAGGCTGCCATCATGCAGCCGACGACGGCCGCGACAAAGCCAGCGCTGGCATAAAAGAAGCCAGAGCGCCGTTTCCAGTAGTCCACGGTCTTTGGAACCTTCGACCTGAAGACTGCTCCGCCTGATCTGGTAAGCCCCACGGGTCTCACACCACCCGAGCCCCGGCGGTGACTTCTGTCTGCTTGTCCATGCTACGCTTGTCAAGAGCTTGTCGAATCCAGGACCTGGGCATGTGCTTTCCCTTTGCCGGGGCCCTGCGAGGGAGTCCGAGTAAAGGAGCGGTTTTCCACTCTTCCGTTTTCCGTCTCAATCCTTTGGCAAACCTCTGGAATAAGACGTAAATCCGCGGCTGGCTGCCGGAAGCAACCGTCAAGATCTTAGGCAATGCAGGCCAAGTGGATGTCTGACAAACTACCGGCCCATGGGTTATCGGAGCCTCCAAAACGCTCGCAGATGACTTGTCCCAGCTGTCGAAGTTTCCGACATGGAGCATGCAATCGCACACATGATGCTTCTGGTCTGCCCGTCTCTCCATCCGTCTGCTTGTCGGTCTGTCTGTCTGTCTGTCTGTGACGGTACGTGTGTGGCATTTATGTGTGGAAGGGTGGACGTAGACAGGTGCATGTAAAGACATAAACAAAACAGAGGTGTGGCGTAGCACCCTAATTCAGACATCTGCGGCTTCGATTGTGAGGTGAGGCACATGAGAGATCAGTTCAAGATGAATGTCTTGGCAGTTGAGTGCGCCTGTCGACAAATTGAAGCCTGTTCGGAAGCAGCTTCAGCTCTGCTTGGGTTTCTGATTCCTCCCTTTGCCTATTCATTTCTACGTACGTGCTAAAAACTGCTTCAGGCCCGGAAGAGAGATTTTGTTTCCCCCCAGGTACCCCGGCTACGGCCTGCTCCATGGCATCTCCTCCTCCTCGGAATCTGCTCTGAAGGAGGCCAGGGAGCACTCTGACCTTCTGGTTGTTCTGATTCAGGGTTCCCTTTTGATTAGCTCCGTTCATGGTAGAGCTTAGAACTTAGAATTACACATTGGTGAAACATCAGACTGTTTAAATTCGTTCACATGCGCATAGGTGTGTATAAATGTATAAGCGGATAGCTAAACTAACAAAGACCGCATACTGTGTACATGATATCTACCACTCGATGCTTAGACTTGACACCGCAGGTTGCCCTGACCGCCTTTCGCTTCATCCTGGACGAGCTGAAGGTTGCGTCCGGGGCCCAGAGAACACGCATCGTTTTAGGCTTCAGGTTTCACCCTCGCCCGGAAACTTTCTTGACTAGTTGATCGTTTTCTTGTGCGGTCGCTTGAAGGGCAGGGATTACTGTTTGGAATAGCATGGGGGACAGGATTGCAGCTGCGAGGCTCTAGCGGCGTTTGTTGCGTTCCCGGACGGAAACACTTCGTATTCTGGTTTGTGATTCTGACATGCTTCTGCGCAGCCAGAACTTCTCTCACCCAGGAGCACTGGAGGCACCGTGAAGATGCCAAGCAAAGGCTGCAGTTCAGCATGCAGGTGTCAGGTGCCACAGAAGTTTGGACGACTGTGCATCCTCAGGTAGTCGGAGCCAGCGTGCAAGAACATACGGACAAGGGTCATGCTATTGATAACTATGATCACCAGCATCATGTACACCGCCACTCATCAGCGTCGTCATCATCATTCTTTTTATCATCTTGAGCAGCAGCAAGCTAGCGATCATCATCGCCACCATCGTCATTATCAGGATGATAACGTCATCATTGGAGTACGGAGGGGGAGAGTCTCCGACTTCGAGGTACGAGCAGATCATCCTTTTCGGCCGCTCTGTCGGGTCCGGGCCCACTGTTTACCTGGCGAGCAGGCAGGCCAAGAGACTGCTCGGTCTTGTCCCTGTGCACTCCTCATCTAAGCCTGTGGTGAATGGGGGTGCAGACTGGCACCAAGAAATTAATATAAGCGCTGTCCCTCAATAGGTGGTCGGCTGACAGAACTGCACCATCCATAGAAAGTTATGCCCAACCACTGTCGATGTGGGGCCTTTGCAGTTCACCGCCCGTGACGGCGAGTTCGTCGGTCTTGACAGGGAACATCCATGGAGCAATCCCGAGCACGCAGCAGTGTCGATCTCCCGTCCTGAAGCCCTTGCGCAACACGCAGCTTTTGCACTGGCAGTTCTTGGGCCAACATGTGTCAACCTTTGCACTCGCGGCAGCAATTGTTCTTGCCGATTCTCGCGTACGACACATCAACATCGTCGTCGTCACGGTATAGCCTATGGCATATGTAGTGTTAAACGACATCTGTGACGAGTAGCTTTAACCTCGAACAGCTCAAATCTAACGGAGCCTTCGAAGGCCAAAACTTGCCGAGGTCAAAGGCTGTTTTTTTTTTTTAAGATTATGTAACATTGTGCAAGCCTGGCCCAAACCTTCGGGCCGATTCTACGGTGATGCAAAGACTGCCGCAATCGGATCCCTGGAGGTAGTCGTCGCAGTCCAGTGAGAAGGACACCAATGAACAGTAGTGACAGCATGGCCTCAGCTCTTGGATGTTCCGTGCTCGTTTGGCAAGATGAAGCTCCCACTCTCCGGGAAGCATCATTCCCGCTAAGCATGGCAGCCACGGACTGCGGAAAGGCATTTCACCAATCCAAATCCAGGGGCCCGAAGAGAAACTGTATAGCTGTACCGTAACTGGAAACTTTTGCCCTGCAAAAGCCTATCCATGAGTAGCTTTTCCTACAAACTCCTGCTCTAAATCTGCCGGCCCCATACGATACCATTATGGTAGTACGGTAGAATAACATATAGTAGAACATATTATAGTAGAACCTGCACCCAGAGTTTTTCTCCCGTAGGTTTCCGGTCGGCGGCCTCATCCTCGTGGCGGCCTTTGCCTCGGTCCGGGAGGCACCCTGGGCCCAGAGAACGGGAGGGGGGCTTTGGGGCGGGAGTACTAGGGGTCACTAGGGGGAAGTAGTTATATACCATATACTGATCATTATATGTTTTCTAAGCGGGAGTTAGGAGAGCACTGGGGTTAGGTTGGGGGGGCCTTGTTCTTCTGTGATGAGGCAGTTTTCCAGGGCATTTGGGACGGTGGTATCATTTCTCAGGTTGCTCTTGCATCTGTAACTTCTGAGCCTTACCACTTGGGAGGCAGCAAAGTCGCTGGTGGGCCCCTTTGTGGCAAACGTGTCTCGGCCCGGAGTAGTGAGCAGTGAGTGTCCCGGAGTCCGCAAGGAGAGAGTACCGAGTTCTTCTGGCCAAGTCTTGACGTGAGTTACAAATGGCTCCGGTTCAGGATTGTGGGGCTGAAGGCGTGTGAGGCATCTATCCCGAAAAAAGGCCTACCAGCCTAGCCTCCGGGTGTGGGTTTGGGTCCCGATACCAGCGGTGCACAGATCCGTAAATCCCCGCGACCACTCGGGCTGGACTTCAGTGCCGAGGTCCTGGAAGAGCGGTTCCCAAACATCGCTCTCAT